TGACCAACTCGTCCCCTGGCTGTGGAAAGTTACCTGACATCTGCGGACGGGGGCGGGAGGGAGCCTGGCACCCGCCCGTCTGAGTTCGGCTTTCGTGCTTCCCGTGCGTTGGGGCACACGGGACGCTTCGGGGTGAAAGCGCAGGCACCAGCATGTGGCAGCAAGGAGTGTTGTGCAAGGGTCTACACCACCACATAGAAACGTGTGTGTGTGTGGAGGGTTGTGTCCCCTCCTACGCTGGCTCTCGCTGGTTGTGGCATTGAGGAGTGTCTCACTGCCCTAAACATCACCATGTTGCAGGATGCGAGTTCTTATTTATCCAAACGAGATCCTTACAACACCTTTCTGGTTAGTTGAAGTCTTGAGGGATATAAAGTGTGCGTCAGTGTATAGTGAAAGGAAGAAAAAATAAAAAGCTGTTCTTGGCAGAATGCGCATGTTCCTTGGATCAGGCTGTTTAGTCCTCTAAACCTTCTTGAGACATACTGTACTCTGTTAGGGAGATGTCAAGTTACTTGCTGGGAACGTGGCAGTGCAGCACAGAATTAATTAGTCGCCCAGGAAAAAAAATTATGATTGAAGTTACTCAAGAAACCTTCTAGCTTGACCACCAGAAAATATTCCACGTTGCTAGAGTTTAATAATTAACTCAGATGTTTGGCCCAGTGATATGGATTGGGGGCTCACTTAGTTTATATACACTGCTTTTAAATTTAACATTAAACTCCTTACCTGATTTTGACACACTGAAAGTGATTGCATTCAGGAAAATTAAAAATGTACATTAAACAAAACTGCATATATTATGATGCTCTCTAAATAGAGATTTCAATGCTGCACTTTGAAAAGAGTATAGAATTTCTCTGAGACAGCCATAATCCTTTGAGCATAAATATTATATATAATTTCTTTGTAAAGGGACGCTGTTGAATACACTTCCTCCTGTGTCCCAGATAATTCTTGTGGTTTCACAATCAAGTTTTCCAGTTCAGATTTTTTTTCTTTCTCAGTAATTAAGAGAAACACCCAAAAACTAATAGGAAACTGAGTATGTGTGGAAAGAAAACAATTAAATTGATTGTGAATTGATCCAAATCCCTCTGATGACAGTGGAAATAGTCACGTTGATCTGGATCAGGCCCAAAGTGCTGTCAAATGTACACAATAAATAAAAAAAATAGATACATTGCTTTAAAACTCTACAAGGTCCAATAAACTAGAAGTGATGCTTGTAGTAACTCTTAAATTAGATGAAGTCTGATGACTTTCAAAAATGGTAGTGTTCCCTTAATACATGTTTGGATGTTTTCCTCATTCGTTTTCCTGTGTTTAAACATTGTTTAATTGGGAATAATCTTGAGACTAGTTCTGGGGCACTTTTGTTAGGGTAACGCAAATCCTACTTTTGTATTTATTTCTCTTAACATATTGTGCTATCATTCATAACCAACCTGTTTTTTTCTCCTGTGATAAAGTTTAACAATGGAGATGAGTAGGTTTATGATGCACTGAATATAGTTAATAATAATTAGAATGTTGTACAGTGCCTTTTGTCCATAAATCTTAAGGGCTCTACAAAGGAGTATAAGTATTGCTATCCCTGTTTTTCAGGAGAAGCTGTTTTTCAGGAGAAGCTGAGGTACAGAGAAGTGAAGTGACTTGCTGAAGGTTGCACAGCAGATTGGTAGAGCAAGGAATAGGTCAGGTTTCCTGATATTTTGTCAAGTGCTCTGTCCAGCAAATTATGCTCCATTTCTCTTTTGCTTATTAGCCAGTCCCTGTATGTTTTCAGGGGCAGTAACAAAAAGATTTGGTGGGTTTTTTGTTTTTGTTTTTTAACTTGCAGGATAGAAGTAGCACTTGAAATGTTCTAAAGGCACTGATGGTGTTCTTGGTGTTGAATAGGGCACAAATATAATGGTAGTCTTAATTGTGGGAAGACTACAACTAAAGGCATAAAGATAAAACAAAGGGATAAAGGTAAGATGCACCTGGTGAACATTTTTGTCCCAATTCCACAAATACTTATGCTCATGCTTCACTTTCCCTTGTAGAATAGGCCAGTTGACCATAAGAATTTGAAGTGGGTCTAAAGATTTCTTAGAAGAGCTGATTACAGGGCTTGTTTTCATGGGGATTGTTCTTAAAATCACTAAAATTTATGTCCTGCTGTTGCAGTTCTGCTTGTGGTAGGGCTAGTTTAGACTCAATGATGAAGTCAGTGACAAATAGTCTAACCTTTTCTGAACAAAGTTAGGTGACAGTGGATAAAATAGGCAACTTATAGCGCTCCCACTCATGTAACTGAAATTGTGTGAAATCCTGGGGGAAGAAGCTTGCAAGGCCTGTGTTTTTAATATCACAGCGGTGTTGCGGTATCGCTTTAGTATTGTTTTACTCAGATGTGGTGGGTTTTGTTATGCAGAGACCGCTGAGCACTCTACAGTAACAGTGGGTAACTCCTCAGGTTAGGTTTCCATTACAGATTAAAGAATAAGAGAGCACTATCCTCTAATATACTTAACTGTATAGCTGCACACTATAAGAGCTCTTTTTTTAGTCACCAGTACATTTCATATTGTTTTTGCTAGTTTTTTCTTTTTTACATTTCTATTATTCTTCAAATAAAAGGGGAGTTTTTACTTCAGCTTTCACAGCAGATCATATCCCAAACACTGCCGCATTCCACGTTATGATAGCAAATTAAAATAACACTGTAAAGCACAATCTGGACAGACTGAACTTGATACTCTAGACCTCTGTTTTGCATATTTCAACCCTTGTGTATGCTAAGCTTTTGATACTGTTGACTACTAATTTTTTATCCTTTTTAGTCAAACTATTTAAGGCCGGGAGTTGTTTTTTATATATATAACTTGAGAAACACAAAAGATGTACTGTCAAAAATTTTCTTGAAAACTGAATTTTTCTTGAGGGTTGACCTAATAAGTAATATTGCTGGCTTTCCTTTCTTTAAAAAAAAATTCTTTAATCAACTATGCAGGTATGGTTATTTAACATTTTCAATTAATTGCATCAGATTTTTTTTTTCATAGTGGAAACAATATAAGGAAAAAATTTAACTTGTGTGGTATCTTGAACCTTTTAAAGTATGAAATTTGTCAGTTTTTAGGTTAACATTTTGGGCAGTCTGTTAATTGTAACCATAGCGTGTAAAGCTGTTTTTTAATTTTTTTTCTCCCGTGTATGTATAGTATTTTGTTAAATAACTTGAGTGCTGAACTACTGGCTTTGTATTTTTTTTTTAAAGAAATCTTTGCTTTTTCTCCTTTCCCGACAGGCTCAGTTTTAATATTTGTTTCAATCTATAAACCTCTTTAAAAGAACCCTTTCATAAAACCTTTTTAATTAACAAATTATTTGGGTCCTTGTGTTTTATGCATAAAAGGAATCATTGGATACTTTGTGCAGTGTAAAAACATTTGTAAACCTTAATTGAATGTTGGCCACAAAATGAGTGAGAGATTTTTTTTTTCTTGGAAAGAATACAATTAAAATCTGCTATAGTGTAGTCTGCATAACAATATGCATTTTATGTCATATTGTACTGTAAGGGGATATGTACTATGTTTTATCTTTCTGCAGTCACTCAATGATTACATGACACAATTTGTGTGTGCCTACAAGAAAAGCGGTGTCAGTAAACTAGAATGGAAAATGAAGAGTGACATTTGAGAACATATTAGGAACTATATTTTTCTTGTTTCAGAACAAAATTTACCAAGGCATTGACTTCAAATTAGAGAGTATACATCTTAACAGATGTGAGGTATCAATGTTTCTTGTTTCCTAGAAATATTCTTTGGGGATTTGGGCCCTGATCCTGCACCTCTTAAGTCATGGGAGCTTTTCTACTGATTTCAGTGGATGGAAGATCAGGGATTTTGGGCATAAGAGGCACATAAACTGTCACAATTTTCCAGTCTGTGTGAAAGAATTGGATCATTAAAATGTACTATAGTGAATTGTGCAAAAGAATGATTGACTAGAAACCTCATGAGAAACAATTAGCATTCAAATAAGAGAGAGAAAAATCCCAGAGTGTGAGGGGTGTGGTACTTGGTTTACTTAATGCAGAGGAAGAATTGATGAAATAATTTCATCAGATCAGTCATCAAAAAGATTTGTTTTCTTTTTGGAAAAAAATTGTTTTGTTACTTTAATACTGTAGTAGCCAATTTTTTAAATTACCGTTGAGAAAATCTGTTAAGGTTTTATATTGTGAAATGTAGGTGTTTCACTCAAACTTAACTGTACACTTGCTCAAAGAAGTAAAACCCAGGGCTTTTATTGGTGATAACTTATATGCTAACATGAAGGAATCTTTAAAACCACACAAGTTATACCACTTAGTTGTACAGGCATTGTTAAAATAGTACACCCGCCCTCCCCCACTGTAGAGACAGTTATACTAGCATAAAAGGCATTATACCTACAGCCCTGAAAATCTGCAAATATAAAGTGGAGATCTGTGGCTAATTTTTGCAGATATAGGTGTGGATACCAATTTTGCATCTGCACAGGATTCTAATTATGCCAGTATACAGTAGCTTATTCCTTTATGTGACTGAGAATACTTGTATAACTCTATCCACCCCAACATACTTCTAACTAAAAATAATTATACTGGTACAAGATAGGATAACAAGCTTTGTGGATAAGGGGGAAGCAGCAGATGTGGTATATCTAGATTTGATACAGTCTTGCATGACTTATTAATAAAACTAGGGAAATACAATCTAGTCAAGGCTCCCGTAAGGTGGATTCATAACTGTCTAGGAATGGTTATGCAACCAGTTATCAATGGTTCAGTCATTTTGGAAGGGCATAACAAGTGGGGGTTCTGCAGAGGTCAATACTGGGACCAGTTCTGTTCAATATCTTCATCAATTGTTTAGATAATGGCATAGAAAGTACACTTAGGTTTGCGGCTGTTATCAAGCTGGGAGGGTTGCAAGAGCTTTGGAGGATACAGTCCTATTTCAAAATGATTTGGACAAACTGGAGAAGTGTTTTTAGGAAAATAGGATGAAATCAATAAGCATAAATACAAAGTACTCCTCTTCAGAATGAGCAATCAGTTTCACACATACAAAATGGGTAATGACCATCCAGGAGAGAGTATTGCAGAAAGAGATTTAGGGGTCATAGTGGACCACAAGCTAAATATGAGTGAATAGTGTGACACTGTTGCAAAAAAAGCAAACCTGATTCTGGGATATATTAACAGGATTGTTTTAAGCAAGACATGAGAAGTAATTCTTCTGCTCTACTCTGCACAGATTAGGCCTCAACTGGATTCCATTTTTGGGTGCCACATTTCAGGAAAGATGTGGAGAAATTGGAGAATGTCCAAAAAAGAGCAAGAAGAATATTAAAAGGTCTAGAAAACATAACCTATGAGGGAAGATTGAAAGAATTAGGTTTGCTGTCTAGAACAGTGGTCACCAACCAGTAGATAGGAATTTATTGGTACATCTTGGAGCCTTTGACAGGTGATCCTGACAGGTTTGGCCGGGAGACCACCAAGTGCCAGCACTTAATCTATCCCTCTCAGCGCTGCCGTGTTGCTCCTGCCCCTCTGCCTTGGAGCTGCCTCCCACTTCCAGGAGCTTCTTGCTTGCTGTGCAGGGCACAGGAGGAAGAGGGAGGGAGTGCTGATGTCAGGGTGCTCTTCCCCCCACCCTGTACCCCATCTCCACATAGTGGAGGATGACGAGAGTTTGCTGGCTGCTTTGCAGGGCCAGAGTAAGGGTAAGCCCCCTGCACCATCACCCAGAAGCCATCTGTGGTAAGCAGGACCCAGTTGGAGCCTGCATTCTGAACCCCAACCCCAGTCCTGAACTCTCCTATATCCCAAATCCCTGCCCTATCACTGAGTCCTCCTGAACCCAACTCCCTCCCAGAGCCTGCACCTTGAACCCCCTCCTGCACTTCAGCTCTCTGCCCCAGGCTCAGCTCAGAACCCCTCCCACACTCCAAATCCTTTAGCCCAAGATCAGTCTACATCCCTTTCCCCTCCATCACAGCCCTCTGCCCCCAGCCTGATAAAAGTGAGTCAGGATGGGGAAGGGAGAATGCACTCTCCAGTTCTCCACCCAAGGCAAGATAAGACTCCTTTAGCTGAATCTGTAAACATTGCTAAATTACTTTAAGTGCTGCAGGAAAATGGGAATTTGGGAAATATTTGTGTATATGAGTAGAATTAGTTGATCCTTCATGTGAAATTTTGTATCACTGGAAAATGTTCAGTTTGCAAGTCCTCTAATTCATGTATGAGAGAGGATAAGGAATTCTGCCTACAGATCTTAATGAACAGATCTTTGACATATATTCTACCCCACCCTCATGTGTCGCTTCTCAAAGCTTAAGAGCCTGGGAGCTGAGACTCACCAGTAAATTAGTAAAGTCTAAGGAAGTGGTAAGCCAGGGAAACATATTTGACACTAAGAGCTTGAGCAGGACTCCCCTTGATACAGCTCAGTCTGCGACTTCATGACTCTGAGTAGTTACCATTGAGGCTCAGTTTCATCTGGGCATTGAAGCATGACTGGCAGGACTGAGGAAAGGTGGAACTATCAAAGCCTCCATCTTTGGCAAGGAGCTCAGCACCTATAGCAGCTCATACTGTAGCATCAACATCAGCACTTCGACAATGTACTCTCGTATTACTGCCTTC